TTCCACATTTCATTCCAGCAGGAAGATCCTTTCCACAAGTCCTACAAACATAGACTACTTTTTCCATGCTCACCATCTTCTCAATCTCTCCGGTAACATATTTGCAGAGGCAGGGGATGTCGGCACCTTTCACCGCCGAGCAGCACTCCGCCGACGGCTGAACCTTGGGGCCGGGTGGCTCCACAAACTTTTTGCATTTGCCTAACAGATCATCAGGAGGGGTTCCTTTGCATTCTGATTGTGCAGAGACACCATGAAAGTTGCATAACATGATGATACCAATCACCACACAAAATGTCAAAGCCAAGCAGCGAATGGCCATCTCTTTTAGAGATTGATACACTCAATTTTGGTTGCTTGCTATGAGAGAGAAGAACTTGCTTGTGCATTACTTTGAGCTTGTGAGCCCTTAAATAGAGGAAGAGGATGGTTGGGGAAATTAAATTAATCAGCTAGGTTCAGTTAACTTATTTAATGTTCTTCAATACTATTGGTCTAATTAATAATTTGAATTGAATGCTTTAATGTCCTTCAATACTATTAGTCTAATCAATAATATGAATTGAATGTTTTTTTTTTCACTGAAGCTGAATTTAACTGAATTTAATGTTCTTCAATGCTGTCAATGAATAGAATGGTTGACTTAACGACAATATGATCAAAATATTTCCTTTTGCCCTTGTTATAAGAGGCTACTAATTAATTCACACTATCAATATTAAATACTCCTCTAATCCTATTTATAAGACAGAGAGAAAAGACATTTTTTGATCCTATTTATAAGGCACTAAAAGAAATTTTTTATATGGATGTACAATTTTACCCTTTATTTATTATTGCGTTGACTTTGTTTACTGTATATTAAATAGGGATAAAACTAAAAAGTTATTAAATTTTAAATGAGAGTTAATAAAGTTTAAGGTTTTTCTCAGTCAATGTAAAATGTGTTGGAAGTGACTTATAAATAAGATGAGATGAGCATATGAAAAAAGTATTTAAAGCTCACTAAAACTATCAAAGTGTCTTAATGTCTGATAAAACTACTAAAAAATATTTAAAGTTCATTGAAACTATCAAAGGGTCTTAATGTCTTATAAAACTAATAAAAAATATTTTCTAGAATATGTCTTATAATAAGGGCTACAGCTAAAAGAGTATATTTAGAGGGTGTTTGGGTAGAATCCAAATCATAGTTTTAAAAATAATTTTATGGTATACGAAATAAATATATGAGAAGAGATTTATCTTGACTGTGTGAAAGTATTTTTTTTAAGTGCTTTTACTTAATACCAAACACCCTCTTAATCTCTTCTATTATTTGGGAAAGTCAACAGCAGGCTGATGGTATTTAATTACTTTAAATACGCACTCCTTCTTATTTCAAATATAAGTTATTTCTAACTAGTTTGCATATATTAATACAAAAATAAAAGATTAAACTTAGGTCAAGTAGGTCCACGTGGCCAATTAATTTCTGCCATGTGTATTAGGTTTATACATAATCATTTACCCTGTTAAACCACCGCTTGCCATTGTGTGAATAAACCAAAGGTAAAATCTTGCTTCTGTCATATTTCCTTTTATTCCTGAGATTTTCGTTTGTATTCACAAGCCCTTAAGTGGAGAAGAAATCTACCCCGTCTTCCCAACAAGGAGGAATCAGACCCTTCCACCGCCGATTCATCACCCAATAACAAGGCCAGTTGGATATTTTTGCCCATTCCTCCTATCGCTGCTGAAGACTAATGACAGAAATATATAGAAGAGTCTTTATTCCAAGGGATGAAATTCATTTCCCTTTTAGTTCTAAATGGATTCTTCAATTAACAACAATATATATTTCGAGGTTCTTTTAGGGAAGTAAAAAATGTATCTACTCCACTTACCACCAGCCGTGTTTAAACTTCTTGCTGCCATTTGCATCTGTCGACTTGTTTTTGCAAGAGGAGTGATGTTTGCAACACGAGCAATAAAAGCGGAGAAAAAAATACAAGTTCGATCAGAGAAAATAATAGACTTCGGAGATGCAAAGATATGAAACAATCGATCATATTCACCATCCCCTCACACGATCGACCGACTAATGGTGGGTTAACAAAAGGGTACGTGTTGATGTCATATAGACCTAGTAAAGCCGAATGACAGTGCGGATACAGGCTAGCCCACGATGGTACTGGCTGAAGGAGCCTGACCCTGCTTGTATTTATTTTTCTTTAGAAACAAATCTATTGTTACAAAATTGAAGCAAGCCAAGGACCAAACCCGATTTTCAACAATAAGTTAATAATTGTTCCACAGTTCAACACCAATCATCATTTAAAAAAAACACAATATTAAAAAACAATTTAATTTCCAATTATTATTTGTTTTGCCAGCTAAAATTTTATTATTTGACATTATTGTTCGTCTAGGTTAGTCTGAAATGTCGGAGTGTTGAACTTGGACTTGTTGTAAGAAGATAATGGGACTATGTGAGATTGCCTGCGAGGATTGATTTATTAAAAAAAAGAGCAGTGAAGCAGGCTCAAAGCGGTGCAAGATGGAAAAGTTTATACTTTGGGTCTGGCTGTTCCCCAGCCTAAACCTGTCATTTTTGGCTGCATTGTTGACACGCAGACAAAGCTTAGTTGTATTACCAACTGTAATGTTATGATATGTCTAATTAATTGCATGAATTGAATTTAATGCTTTTTTGATCGAATTAAGTTGTATTGGATTTAATGTCCTTCAATGCTACTAGTGAATTGAATTTTTTTGCTTACTTTTTTATAAAAGACATTTGACCAAATCTCGTTGATAATCAAAATTAGTTAAAAACAATAAATATGTAAAAAAAAAAAAAGTATAGCATTTTTTCTCAAAAGTACCTCATTTATGAGAAGAGAAAGAGTATAAGGGACAAAAATAAGGAAATTAAATTTTTTTTCTTTTGCAGAAAGGACAAAATGCCATTGCTTATAATTAATTAGTTCAAAGACAGCCAATGGAATAAACATATAAAAATCTAACATCCGACTTTTTGAAAGAAGCAAAAGAAGCACCCTCTAGAATAACGGAATCAAACGTTGAGAAGAACTTCAGAATGTGCTGGACCCCAAATTCAGAGCCTGACGGATTCAAGCTCTGGTTGTTTATAAATTGCTTTCCAATGCACCAAATGTTGAGTTCAGACAGCGGCAGATTTTGATGATTTGACCAAGACAACAATCATAAGATGATTCCACGTAAACACTTCAGATAGCAGTGATCATGAGAATAAGGAAACTAATTATTAGAACAAAGAGGATTATGGAATAAAAATAATGTGTAATGGAGAGGGGTGAGTGTAAGGAGTAAACGATGCTTGGAGAGTTGTGTGATAATAAATGTATTAATATTAAAATGAGTAACTAAATGGGGGCAAAGTGAAAATCAACAAAAAAAAGTCATATGTAATACTACTCCGTCCTTTATTATAAGATCTTTTTAACTAAATTGTATGGTTTAAGAAAACAGTTAAAATTAGTTAAAAGCGATTAATATGTAGCAAATGCGGTTTTTTCCCAAATATAGCCTATATATAAATGGATAAAAGTGATAGAGTAATAGTGAGATAAATGAAGAAAGAAAATATATTAAATATATTAAATTAGGGGTAAAATAGGTAATACTGCATTAAATACTTTGACAAACTCAAGGAGGATCTTATAAAAAGAGACAAAACCATTCAAAAAATTGGATATTATAATAAGGAACAGAGGGAGTAGTTATTTCTTATAAAAAGGAAAGTAGTGAATCCAATTGAATGTCTGACTTAACGAGGATATGCTCAAAACACATTGAAGGGCGAACTATTATAAGCTCCTAGAGATTAAATCACCCAAAAGTTTAATAACAACTTAGTAGCACGCAATAACAAGATTCAAAAATGCAGAAAATGACAACAGGTTTATGTTGTTCATTTGTTATTGAGACTTCATAATAATTACATCTCTTTTTTGGGACATCATTATAATTTTCCCTACATTTTGATATGTTATGTTGTTTAGCAAATTCAACATGCTGATGATATTTACTCCCTCTTCTCCAAAATATCGTGCATCTTCTTTGAAAACAAATCTTATTTATAAGGCTTTATACTTTTAAGGTAGAGTATATATCAGGCAGAAATAAAGTTGTAAAGTTGTTTAATTTTAAGATAGAGTTAATGAGATTTAATATTTTTCTTCACTTATAAATAGAACCAAAAAAGCATGCTTTTTTGGGAGAGTAAGTGGTTGCCAACAACTTCATGTATTGTCAACAATTGACTTATTTCCATTTGTTGGCAAACCTTGGAAGATCATGTTTGATTTCTAATAGCAGACTTGTGTTTTCTGATTTGCATATATATAGTGTACAAAGATACTGATCTTTATCAATTTCTAACATCAATATACCTTAAATTACATTCTCGTGTCTTAAGTTATTGTCATTAATTCCTCTTTTGAGTCTATCCAACCTGCAACAATCTTAGACATATTTTCTCACTCCTCTATTCTTCAGTGCGTACCCTATTTACTCAACTTGTGGGGTTATTTTTTAATCACCCAATGATCATTTACTGTCTTAATACTTGAACAGACTCAAAAATGTGAAATCTTGAGCCCCACATGATTACACTGTGTGAGGGGGAGCTTACACGTAAAACATCAAAAATTTTATTCCATGGTACAAAGAACCCAATTTAATCTCGCAGGAAGCCAGTGGAATTCTCAGGGCTATCTGAAAAATGAATGTAGGTCATATTTTAGTGAAGCAAGGTTACATAATTTGAACTTGGAATCAGTTTTAAAAGAAATTGAAAACAGAATGAAGGAGAAAATGGGACCAGCCACAAAATTATCATAAAATTATATAATATGGCCTTGCTTAAACACACAGCTTAAACGAGGGAGGACAAAAGCATATAAACAAGCACTATAAATATAATTAAATATGTTGGCTTTTTAGGCCATTGAGATTGATCCTAGAATGTTGTCTCAGTTTACATAGGAGGCCTGGGGCGGTGGAACTGTATAACCTGAAATTGTTATAAGACAACATTAGAAATACACACACATATTATTGTCAAAATGGATAAAATTATCAATATTAATATCAATAAATATCCAAAAAGAGAGAGAAAGATGGGGGCATACTTCCACATTTCATTCCAGCAGGAAGATCCTTTCCACAAGTTCTACAGACATAGACTACTTTTTCCATGCTCACCATCTTTTCAATCGCTCCCGAAACATATTTGCAGAGGCATGGGATGTCGGCGCCTTTCACCGCCGAGCAGCACTCCGCCGACGGTTGAACCTTGGGGCCAGATGGCTCGACAAACTTTTCGCACTTACTCATCAGTTCATAAATAGGGGTTCCTTTGCATTCTGATTGTGCCGAGACACCATAAAAGTTACATAACATGGTAATACCAATCACCATACAAAATGTCAAAGCCAAAGAGCGAGGGCTAACAGTGGCCATTTCTCTTAGAAATTGAGACATGTAGTTTGGCGTGATTGCTATGAGAGGGAAGAACGTACTTGTGCATTTTGAGCTTGTGAGGCCTTAAATAGAGGAAGGGGGTGGTTAGGGAAATTAAATTAATTAGCCAGGTTCTATTAACTTATTTAATGTTATTCAATACTATTGGTCTACAGGTAACTAATAATATTAATTGAATGTTTTTTTTTTACTGAAATTGAATTTAATGTTCTTCAATGCTATCAATGAATAGAATGTTTGACTTAGTGACAATATGATCAAAATATTTCCTCTCGTCGTCATTATAAGAGGATTCTAATTAGTAATTCACACGTATCAATAAAATCAAGTAAAAATATTAAATCTGTCATATAATGCAAGTTATATCCAACATTATTCTTATTAAATGCACAAATATCTAGGATCATATATATTAATGTCTACTTTCTTAATACCCTTATTAAATTGATCAAATATACTCCTCTGGTCCTATTTATAAGGCACTTCCAACATGTTTCACACAGACCAAGGAAAACCTTAAATAAACTGCATTAACTCTCCATTAAAATATAGCAACTTTCCAACTTTACCTCTATTTAATATATACTCTTTTCAAAAAGATAACTACTTACACTATAATAAATGAATGACAAAATAGTACATTCATACTAAAAAGTTAATAAAGTGAATTATAAATAGGACCAAAAAAACCTTCTCTCTCTGCCCTATAAATAGGACCAGAGGAGTATTTTCTAGAAGGTATCCTATAATAATGACCAGAGAGAGTATATTTAATCTCTTTTGTTGTTTGGGAAAGTAATGGTAAGCTGATGGTATTTAATTATTTTAAATACATGTTCCTTCTTTTGAAGTTTTTTTCTTGCCAATGTTCCTTGTCATTTCTACCCCTCTGTTCTTTGTTATACATCACTTGTATTCCAAACTCACAAACAAAGAAATACATTAAATTAACCTGTTTTTTTCTACATTTACCCTTATTAAAGTTGAGAGAGGGGGGGGGAGGGAGGGATGAACTGCATAGGAAATGACAAGTTGAAAGAGAAAGATGGAGAGGGATGTGTTTCAAGGAGCCATTACTTCATACTTGAATTAATTAGTTTTTATTAAATTGATAGGGGTAAAATTAGAAAAAGATCATTAATTATACTACAATTGACTTATATTTTGAAACAAACTTCTAGGGTACAAGTGATCTATAATAAGAAACAGAGTGGTAGCTAATTTACTTGTAGTAATAAAAAAAATTATAGGATTAGACTTAGGTCAAGTAAATCTAGGTGGCCAATTCATTTTTGCCATTTGTATTAGTTTTACACAAAATCACTTACCTTGTTAAACCACATTAGCCATCATGTGAGTAAACCCAAAGGCAAAATCTTCTCTCTCTCTCTCTCTCTCTCTCTCTTTCCCTTTTTGTTCTGGTATTTTCGTTTGTGTTCACAAGCCTCTAAGAAGAGAAGAAATCTACTCCACTTACCACTAGCCATGTGTAAATTTCTTGCTGCTATTTGCATCTATCGACTTGTTTTACAAGAGGAGAGAAGTGTGCAACATTAGCAATCAGAGAGAAACAAATAGAGGTGCGATTAGAGAAAACAATAGAATTCGAAGATTCAGAGAGATATGAAACAATCGATCATAGTCAATTCAATGCTTTTTTGACCCAATGGAATTGAATTGAATTGAATTGAATTGAATTTCCTTCAATGCTCCTAGCAATCTGAATTTTTTTTGCTTCCTTTTCTTAATAAACATTTGATCAAATCACGTTGATAAAAAAAATTTGTTAAAATTAATTAGAAACAATAAGTATGTAAAAAAATATAACTTTTTATTTTACAAAAATGCCCTTATTTATTAGAAGAGAAAGTGTATAAGAGAAAGAATAAGAAAAATTATTAGAACAAAAAAGATTGTGGAAGGAAGATAATGTGTAGTGGAGAGAGTATGAGTGAAGGAGGAAATGATGCTTGGGGAGTTATGTGATAATAAATGTATTGATATTAAAACGAGTGATTAAATGGGGTCAAAATGGCAAATTAAAAAAGAAAATTTGACACATCCTCTGCATATCTCTTATGTATAGAAACACGTTATCTGTAGTACTTGTTTTTTATAAATAGGAACAAAAGGAATAATGAATTCCATTAAATGTTTGACCTCATGAGTAAATGCAAATACATTTGGGGAATTACTATGAAGTTCTAGTAACAACTTTGTACGTAACATGCAATAACAAATTTCAGTATAGGAAATAACTATAGGTTTATATAGCTCATTTGTCATTAGGATTTTATAATAATTAAATTCTTTCTTTGGGACTTCAGTAATTCCCCCTATATTTTAATCTCTTCTATGAAAAATCTTTGATTCTTAACATAAGTCCCCTCAAAAGTTATGAATTATCATTTTGTAATCTCGTCTTTATTTATTGGTGGTACGGACTTGATATCGAGAAAGATGACAGATGTCATCACACAAATTTGAATGGGAGCAAAGTTAAAAAAACTCTCAATTTAAGATATACTACCTAATGAGTTAACTGCTCTTCCAAAATTTCGATTAGGTAGTTGAAAACCTGAAAGTGACTTTTTTTAAAAAAAAAAAAAGTTTACACATAACCATGAGGACTTTCACAGACACACACAGACACAGAGCCTACATTAGACATCCACTCTAGGATTCGATCTTGAAACCTTTCTATTGAGAGGTGCAAGTGATGCCATCAAGCTATTAAGGCTTCGGCAAAGTGACTTGTATTATTTATATAGGTTTTACATAGAATTTAAATGAATAAAATTTTCTTTACACTTTTCATTTGATATGGATGACTCTTACTTCTTTTGTCCAATTTAAAATGGACATTGCTTGGAGCAATGTACCTGATGTTAAAATTTTATGTATTGATGATTATATAAAACTCCGAGTAGATTGTTTTGCAGAGATAAAAGAATCATCGAGTGGATCTACAAAACGATGAAGAGCTATAAAGATATATTTTTATAATATAGGACTTTTATAAAGACATATAGCTTTTGTTTGGTTTCTGATAGCAGACTTGTGTTTTCTGATTTGCATACTTTACAATACCTTAGATTACATTCTCGTGTCTTAAATTATTCTCATTATTCCTCTTTTGACTCTCTATTAAGAATATTCTCTTCCTCTCTTCTTCAGTGTGTACCTTATTTACTCAACTTGTGATGTTATTTTCTGCTCACACAATAATCATTTACCGTCTTAACACTTGAACAGACTTAAAATTGTGAAATCTTGAGTGCAACATCATTACACCGTTTTATACCATGGTACCAAGAGCTTAATCTCATCTTGGAGAAAGTTAGTGGAATTCTCAAGGCTACCTCGGAACTAAATATAGATCTTATTTTAATTAAGTAAAGTTAAATAATTTGAGTTTTGAATCAATTTTAAAAGGAAAAAAAAAAAAGAATGAAGGAGGAAATGGGACATTAAGAAACAAAATTATCATTAAAATTAAACATAATATTATATATATGCCTTGATTGAACACAAAGCTTAAACAAGGGAGTACAAAGCATGTAAAACATGTTCACTATAGATATAATTAAATATGTTGGCTTTTTAAGCCATTAAGATTGATCCTTGGATGTTGTCTCAATTTATATTGAAGGCCCGCGGTGAGGCTTGGGGTGGCGGAACTGTGTAACCTGAAATAGTTTTATGACACCATTAGAAATACATACACTTATTGTTGCGAAAATAAAGAAAATTATCAATATTAAATTATTAATATCAATCAATATGAAATTTAAAAATTACAGAAAATTTTATTTTACTGCAACCATTTTTATTCTTTTGTTAATAAATTTCCTAATTTTTTTGAAGTTTCATATTATCATTTTTATTAATTTTCCAAATATTTTAATTGGTTTTAAATTTTAAGTATAAAAAAGATAATACATATATTTAAATAATTTTAATTTATTATCACTCACATGAAAAAATGTATAATTATATATATTGTGAATAGAAAAAGATAAAACAGCCACAACTTATCTATTTATAAAAAAATAAAATTAATTTTTTTTATAAAAAAGAGCCAAATTTAGTTCTTATAAAGCAAGAGTGTACATGACAATATTCTTTATTTAAATGGTTCAAATTAAATTTAGACATCACATTGTGTTTTTCCTTTCAAAAATTTATCTTTAAAAATTTCAAAAATCAGAATACAGAATTAAAATAATTTTTAATTGTCAGCTTAAAAAAATAATGACAATTTTTAATAAAAGAAAAAAAAAGGTTATAGTTTATCCACAAAAAGGTTGGAAAAAAATCCACAAAAAAAAAAAGAGAGATAAGGACATACTTCCACATTTCATTCCAGCAGGAAGATCCTTTCCACAAGTCCTACAAACATAGACTACTTTTTCCATGCTCACCATCTTCTCAATCTCTCCGGTAACATATTTGCAGAGGCAGGGAATGTCGGCGCCTTTCACCGCCGAGCAGCACTCCGCTGACGGTTGAACCTTGGGGCCGGGTGGCTCCACAAACTTTTTGCATTTGCCTAACAGATCATCAGGAGGGGTTCCTTTGCATTCTGATTGTGCAGAGACACCATGAAAGTTGCATAACATAATAATACCAATCACGACACAAAATGTCAAAGCCAAGCAGCGAATGGCCATCTCTTTTAGAAATTGACACACTCAAGTTGGTTTGATTGCTATGAGAGCGAAAAACTTGGTTGTGCATTACTTTGAGCTTGTGAGCCCTTAAATAGAGGAAGAGGATGGTTGGGGAAATTAAATTAATTCGCTAGGTTCAGTTAACTTATTTAATGTTCTTCAATACTATTAGTCTAATTAATAACATGAATTGAATGCCTTTTTTTCCCTGAAATTGAATTTAATACTATTAATGTAGTTAATGATATGCATTGAATGCTTTTGTTCTACTGAAATTGAATTCATTGTTCTTCAATGCTATTAATGAATAGAATGTTTGACTTAATGAGAAGATATCAAAATATTGGCAAAATAATATGATCAACATACTCCAACTAGTTCTTATTATAAGAAAATTTTAACTAATTCACATGTATTAATAAAAAAAAGTTAAAATTATTGATTTTGTCATAAAATTCAAGTGATATTCAACATTATTACTATGCTAATACTAATTTTTATTCTTTTTTACTAGCTTTATTAAATATGGATATATGAAAAATATTTAATACTCATTGATACTATCAAAATGTCTTATAAAAAGGATCGAAAATATTTTCTAGAAGGTGTCCTATCATAAAAGCAGGAGGCAGTACATTTAATTTCTTCTGTTGTTAGGAAAAGTCAACAAGATGATGTTATTTACTTTAAATATGTACTCCTTCTTGTCTCAAATATAAGTTACTTCTAATTAATTTACATACATCAATAAAAATAATTAAAAAGCATTAAATTTATTATAAAATTCAAGAGGTTTAATTGAGTTTGAAGTTCTTCAACAATATTGCCCATTAGTGAGTAGCATGTGTGACTTAACAAGAATATGATCAAAATGCATTTAATTTCTTCTTTTTTTTAACAACAATTTAATTTCTCTTGTTATTTGGAAAAGTCATCAAGCTGTGTCTACTTTAAGCATGTACTCTCTTTGATAACAAATATAAGTAACTTTTAATTAATTTACACATATCGATATAAACAATTAAATTTATTAAATTTATCGTAAAATTTAAATGATTTTATATTACTCTTATTAACTTTAGCAACATTAATTCTTACTACCCTTATTAAATATAGATATATGTGTGTGTGTGGAAAAAATATTTAATACTCCTTATGGAAAAGACCAAGATCACTTTTGAGAAGATGTTCTATATATGGGATTTGGAGGGTGTAAGTTAGTTTTATACATTAGTTAAATGAATGAAGATTTTTACATATTTTGTACTTGACATGGATGATTTATATTTCTTTTGTCCATTTTTAAAATGGATATTGGTTAAAGTAATGCATAAGATATTAGAGTCCCATATTTTGATCATTATAAAACTTAGAAAGAAATTGTTTTGCAGATATAAAAGTGTATGATTAAACACAAAAGTACGTCATAAAAGAATTAATGGATCTACAAAAGGACTTTCATCGTAAGTAGTTAAAGATTTAAGAGAATTACAACAAAAGTGAAATCTAAAATGTTTTCAGAAAAATGATTTCATAAAGTCAGCCTTTCAAAACTTAACTGCACATGGTTTTTATATCAATCTTGTGGACAATTTTGTGTTTTTGTACGTCAACAATTGTGTGTGTCCTGTTCTTGATGTTCTTGAAGGTTTGTTGACAAGTGGTTGACTTGTCAGCAGGCGCTATTTTTCCAAAATGATGTTGACAATGCCTTGTTTCTGTCCATAATTGCCATGCTTTGTTCCATGTTCCTTTTAGATGGTAGCTGTTTACCAACAATTTCAAATGTTTATTAACAGCTGCCTTTGACAAGTTATCCCAATAGCAACGTCACCTGTCATATTTGAATGACATCTCAAACTCAAGTATCATGTTAACATGTTTGTGTGCACATGCGGTTAAATGAAAATGACTTATATCATATTTAAAATAACAAAATATGTAAGATGTCAGCCAAAAAAATAGTTACTTATGCATCGAAACTACTCTCTCTAGTTACTAATAAAGGGGCTAATTGAGTGTCGGATTTGACCTAAGTATGATATCTCCAGTCCACTAATTATCTTCATATTTATTATTTTTTTCTAACTATTTTATTGAACTTATAAACGAATTTCTAATATAATATTATACATGTGTGTTTTAAAAAGGATATGCCATATTTGTTATGATCAGTATATAACTAATATGTTTCACTCCTTTAATTTATTTAAATCAATTAAATAACTCTTATATTAAGCATTGAAGGAAGTATTAAATGACTATTAAATGTGAAAAGTTTTTGCTAATAAAACGACAATTTAATTGCAATTTGTTTATATATGTATCTTTTTTTAATGTAGTGCTTTGGTTGCGGAATAATGTTGAATGATGAAGACACTTTGGAATAATCGATCACCTTATAAGCTAAGTCGTATAATTTGGATGTTAATTAATTCTTCCCCACTAAACTTTACAGCACAATATGTCAATTATATATATACACAACAAATAGAAAGAGATAACTCTTGAGCTGTTAATGTCTCACATAAAAAGTTTCAGCCCAATGATGTGATCCGGCGTTCCATTCTGAGCAATGATTGATTTATTCTTCTTAGGAACTTTGAAAATGACTATTTTATCATCTTCTTCCTCGTCCTCCTACGTATATACCTAAAATCACAGAGTGAGCGACTTCAAAAGGATATATTACTCACACACTCCATCGTTAACATGGCGGATTCGTTGAGAACCTTGGCGATAATTCTGGTGGTGATTGCAGGAACCCTAATCTGCAACAACGACGTTGTGTCAGCTCAGTGTGGAGGAAGTGTGCCGGACCTGCTGGCACAGTGAGAGCAGTACTTGCAGAAGACCGGGCCGATGATACCGCCGTCGCCGGCGTACTGCACGGAGCTGAGAAAGTTCGATCCAAAGTGCGGGTGCCAACTTGTCACAAAGGAGTTCGTCGATCTCAAGCGTTCCTAAGGCCATATTCGTTGCTCGCACTTGTGGCCTCAATGCTCCTTCCGGTACCCAATGTGGAGGTAATAACAACAACACAAAAGCACACTAAATAATGAATTATCACTAGTATCAATATTAATACCCCTCGTACTTAATATAAAAGTTATTTTGCCATTCAATTTGATTCTAAATATAACATCCCAATCCACTTTATCTTTCTTTTTTTTTTCTTTTTTTTCCCTGAAAATAATTATTGTAGTAATTACACATGTTAAAAATTTTATCAAATGGTAGTTCTAGCTAATACACATTATTAGCAAGGGCATTTTACGAAAGACAACACCTATTTATGACAAATAATTAGCTTAACTAATTTTTTTAATCTACTCAAATTCGTCAACTAACTCTTATATTAAGGATCAGAGGTAGTAATACCTACTCCGACTCTTGTAAAACATTACCCTCTCTAATCTTTTAATATTAGAGCTAGTTAAAAATTTAATATAATCAAATATAAAATCTCAATCTATTTTATCTTTAATATTTAGAGTAAAATACATTTACCGTCCTTTTATTTTATCTAAATTACAGAAACCTATATGGTATTTTCAAAACACATGTGAACCTCTTTTAAAATTAAAACGTGTATCGTACAAGCCTTGCTTACGTAATTGAAAATTTATTTCCATCTACATAAACAATTAATTAACCATTAAGTTTAACTATTAAACTTTTATTTTTACCAAAATAACCTTTTTTTAATACAAGAATTAGTTAAACATTTTCAAAAATAATTTTTATATAACTTAAAAATTATTCAAATACATATGTTTTCAAACATTCTAATATGTTATAATATTTATTAAATTTTGATTATGTCATAAAAATTTATAATTTTAACTTTTTATCATATTTGTTGATATACTTGTTTCTTTAGGTTTCTTTTGAGGGAAAATGATAAAAAAAAAAAAAAGAAGCTGAAAATTTGTAAATGTCAAATAAGGAATGTCAACAAAAATTAGTTGTCATTTGCAAATTCAGTACTGTCAATACAAAATAAAGTGTTGTTATACCAAACTTGATTCAGGATTTAGTAATTTCAAATTTCCTTTTTTGTCATTCTCCCTTCTTTGAAATAGCTAAAAATATTTTTTTTAAATGTATTTTTTTAATGATATGATATAAATGATATAAGTTTGAGAGATTATATAAATCAATTAAATTTATAATTCAAAATTTTCAAACATTTTTGCTACAAACATATATAAATAGTCAAGTTTGTATTTATTAACAAAATTAATCAAATTTTTAATATCTGCGTTAATCAGATTACTTGAATTTTTTGCCTAATATGGTTAAAAAAATAATTTCTTTTCTAAAGGAGAAAATAAAATTAAAGGAAAAAACTCTTAAATTCTTCAAAAGAATTTTAGCTAAAATTAAGGAGTTGGTATGATGAAGGGTAGAATAGTAAATAAGATTTATTAAAATATATTTTTAGTATATTTTTGATGGAGTTAACAATTCAGACTTATGTATATGTTTTCAAAATAGAGGAAAGGTCTATCTAATTTTACTCTAATTAGAGTATTTTACTCTAATATTTATTCATTCTGTCTACAAGTAATTCCTACGGTAATTGCATACAATAAAGAGTCTACATGAAAAGATATTTCAATACACATAATTCATTGAGGTATTTTAGAGAAGACAATATACATTTATTACTCATAACTAACTTAAATAATTTTTTTAATATTCATAAATTAGTTATCTAATTTTTATATGAAAGAGTGGACGTGGTATTTTATTAGCAGATTTTGATGTTTCCATTTTTCAAACCATTTACAAAGTTTGGGAAGTAAATTCTGCGCATATTATGCAAAAATAATACATGAATCACATACAAATCTATTAAATTTTGTATGATTATAAACAATTCGTCCACAACTCCTATTTCATGAAGTAATATCTGCTGTATTTTTTTTTGTATAAGAAAAATTAGATGAATTAAGTTTAAAAGACTTATCAATGCGGCCGATGCATACTTTCAA